TCAGATAACACCATCTTATAACCTACAATGGGGGGGAGGGGGGAGAGAGAGAGGGAGAGAAAGCCTATTCCTTCTCTTTCCTCTCTTTCATGCTGTCTCTAGTTAAAGTGAGTCATAAACCCATTTTCCTAGAATTTCCTCCATGGTTTTCACCCTTTTGGTTAACCCATCTTGTAACTTTAGTATGTGTGGACTTCACGTGTGAGGACCTCTCAGAGCTGTGCTGATCTAACAACTGTCTCTCTGACAAGAAATAAGTTCAGATTTATGTCGTTTGCAAAGTTCTGTGATACAAACACTCTTTCTGTGGCCAATGGAAAGCCACCAATGACATGACAGTGCATGGAGCTAGCGGAAGTGGACACAAGCAGCATTCTGGTCAGCACACTTCACTCGAAGACTCTATATTCCAGAAATACCTTCATACCGCTCTAAAATACCTTAAAATACCTTCATACTGCTCTAAATACTCTTTCCTCCCTAATTCTTCACCTCAATGAAGCATTAATAAGTTCTAGTTTCCCAGAAAATGGCTTCTGCAGGTCAGAACCAGTTTCCAAAGCCAACTAGTGTCACTCTATCAAAAATTGAGTACCAGCTGACTCAACAGAATGATAATGTGATGGAATTTGTCTTTTCAATAAATTAAAGCATTTTTGCCTTTCCCTCAGTCATTCACATTTGGCTTATATATTTCTTCCAGCTCTCAAATTTACATTGTGCCTGAGACATGGGGTGGGGTTGGGGGGTTGAATGAGGGAAGAATGAAGGGAAAGCTGGATGTGAGAGTGAGCTTTTCAAGAAGAACTGTAATTAATCTGTGAGAAAGGAGAGGTGTGGGAGACAGGCTTGAGCCTAGGGTGAAAGTCTTATTGACAGCCATACAGCAGGCCTGAGGCAACAGCCCAACCACTGGAGCCTCAAGGAACGCCTTGTGACATTTGCTCCCATTGGCAGATCATGAGACTGATGCCTAGAGCTTGCCACTCCTTAGTCACCACCACCCTTGGAATTCCAAAATTGCAACACTTAGATATTGCAACAGTCAGGGTCAAGTGGTTTCCAGGAATCCAGGCTTTGTAATCTGAAACCCAGTATGCTAATGAGGCATCCTACCTGCTATTCTGTGACAGGACATTAAGTCTGTTATGCTAATAGGATGCTAGGTCTGTTATGCTAATAAGGTATCCTCCTTGCTGTACTCTGATAGGACACTAAACCTGTTATGCTAATGAGGTATCCTACTTGCTGTGCTGTGATTGGACCACTACCCCTATATAAGCTTGTGCCTTCCTGCAATAAAGCAGACCTGTGTCACTGAACCTGGTCTCCTGTGTCTGAACGTGGCTCTGCTGACACAGTCTCCTCACCAGCCCTGGGGTCTGGGACCAGGCAGAAGCAGTGATGACAGAAGGTGGCACCAGGCAAGCAGAAGAGTGGCCTCAGCCCAGGGTGAGGGGAGGAGCAGCCTTGACGCCAGTGAGAACAAAGGAGCGGCCCCCGCTGGCGGTGACCACAGAGAGGGAAGCATCCAAGCAGACAGAACCCTGGAGGAGCCGGTCATTTGGCCCTATTATCGGCTGGGAGGGATGATTTGTCTTACCATCAAAGTCCACTACTCTGAAACTATCTTCTAAAAACTGTACTAGTTTTAGTAATAGCAGAAGTCAGATAAGATCACCTTAATTTTATTACTTAAAAAAAAAACAAGAACAAGTAATTATGCTTCCTACTGACAAAAGACAAAATGTTCAGCATGCCCAATTACAGAGAAACACCGAAATGTTGAATAGGAAGAGAAATAACCCACAGCAGTCCCACAGTCACAGTGGGCGACGCAGCCCATTTCACCACAGAAGACAGAAAGAAATGTCTTCTAAAAGGGCCTTAATCTTCTACAAAAATCTTTCCAATTAATTTAACTGTGAATAATTTTCTCTTAAAACTAGTTGAAAGTTTCCATTTTAAATACCAGAAGGCTATTTAACAACCCATTTCTATAACTGGATTAAGCCGTGTACTTCAGCCTGGACAATAGCATTCCGGAATTTCTCTGAGGGTTCTGACATTACAAAGCCCCACATGCTAAGCAGAGTCAGAGCAAGCCTCCAGATATCAGGAAAAATACACTCAGTTCAATCAGACTCCCTACTTGAAAGGCAGCTAAATAATAATGTCTATGCACCTTGACAGATCACTCCAGACTCTAAAACAGAACTCTCACTGTCCCTCTACACTCCTGCAGGCCAGCAGAGCCCTCAGGAGGAAAGTCAGCTCAGCAAGAGGGGGTCTGGACACCAGGAGGCCTGGAGCTTGGAATCTTCTAGGCCAGGACATGAGGAGGGTGGGCCTAGAGCCAAGGATCCAGAAGTAGAAGATTGAATCAAGAAAGAGCAGCTGGAGTAGGGAGAAGCCAGAGAGGCTGTCAGGAGCACTGCAGAGTGGGTGGGATTCAGGAGGGCTTGGAGAGTAGGAAGCCACAGAGATCTAATCAACAGCCTCAGCTACAAGAGTGTAGCCTAAACAGGCCGGGTGGGGTAGACCTGTAATTCCAGCATTTGGGAGGCTGGTTTGGTAGAGTAAACCTATAGTCCCAGCACTTGGGAGGTTGGTTGTCAAGAAAGGAAAGGGGAGGAGAAGAGAGGAGGGGAGGGGAGGGGAGGATAGTGTGTTGGAGATTAGGATGACTTGCCTTTGAATGAGTGAAACCTGAGACCTGGAGCTCAAACCACAGCCTCTGCTTATGGGTGAGATCCTGAACATGGGAGTCTCAGGACCCTGACATGCAGAACAACTTCATGTTTAGTAGAGGAAGTTGGCTGACTGTTCCTCATTCTAAGAAAGGCATCTTAACTTCCCTCTGAGAGAGTGAATATCTTGGTCAATACATCACCAGACAATAGCCCTGAGTAAGGTATAAACATCCTGCTATGTGATTGCCTTAGCTTACACCAGCAAAAAAACTGCTCCTGTTTTCTCATCTAAAAATGTTCTGATACTTTGTATTCAACTGCAAAAGCCATATGTAACTGCTATTTTCTCTTCTGTATAAAACCTGTTTCACTCTTAATAGAGTGGGCTTGTAGCCAGACCCACAAGTCCCCAGGGTCTCTTCACTCTGTGCCTCTGATCCACTGTCTCAGAGCAGGGTCCCCCGGAGAGCAGCCTCTGCAGCAGTGAAGGAAGGAAGGAAGGAAGGAAGGAAGGAAGGAAGGAAGGAAGGAAGGAAGGAAGGAAGGGAGGGAGGGAGGGAGGAGAGAGACAGAGAGAGACAAAATGAGAGAAAGTGTGATAGGGTATTAGGGAGAGAGAGAAAATGAGAGAGAGGGAGGGAGGAAAATAAAAAGGAGAGAAGAAAAGGGGAGGGGAGGGAAGGGGAAGAGGAGGGAGGAGAGGGGAGGGGAGAAGCAAAGAAATAAAGAAAAGAAAAGAGGATGCACCCTGTAACCCACTGTCACACTCTCTCATGCCTCTGTACCTTTGTACATGCTATTCTTCCACCCAGAATGTCATTTTTCTGCTTTTTGTGCCTAGGGAATCCTGACATTCCTACAATGCCTAGAGCTTCCAGTTCCTTCCTCCGTGAGGATCTCCCCTCACCTCATGTGTGCCATCTCTTTCCTAGGGCTGACAGTTTCTCCTCTCCGAGATGCTCCCCTCACCTCATCCGTACCACCTTTTTCCTTGTACACATTTCATCCCGAAGCACACAACAAGCACAATATATGATACACAGTAGGTGCTTAATAATTGTTGAATGGATGAAACAGAACTGCTTATACTGTGTTCAATAATTAGGTCTTATTAGAAAGACCTATTAATATTGGTAATAGTTTACAAAATAAGGTACTTGAGTAATCTAAAATAGCCTCTAAGAAGAAAGGAAACATGATCCATCATTGTCTTATATTCCTGACCCAATAAAAGGAGAACAAATATTTTCATCCAGAAATGAAATTTAACAACAGCAGGCTCTTTGGTTCCAGATTTGAAGGTGTATCAGCTGACATTCAAACATTGCTCACAGTTTTCCAACAGAACAATACCTGAAAACACCAGAGAACCTGTTAGAACAGATAGCATTTTGAACCATTTCCTGCTGAGGGTCACTCACTTAGCAGGCTCTGGGATCCACCTCTCAAATTCTGGTGTGGTAGCTTTGGCTCAAGGCATTTGTGTTTTTCAAAGCCTGTCCCTACCTATCTCAAACAGTGAACAGGTTTAGAAACTTCTAGTTGGTTAGTTCTAAGCCATTAGTGACATGACCTATAGGCTGAACGTTGCCAGGGAGACGGGCTGCTGTCTTCTTGGCAAACCAAAGATAGTCTTCATAAATAATTGTTAAACCTACTATGTAAGTATTGGAGTATCTCATTCTCTCTTCCTAATGAACATACAAAGATAGAGGCCAGTGTTATGCACACTGTAATTATGAAAGCTGAAGCTTAGTGAGGGTAAGTACTTGTCCAGCTGCTAGGTGGCAGAGATGGGATCCTAGCTGTTCCTTCTAAAGTCTATGCTCAAAACACTTCTGTACTACCTCTTTGCTGAAACAGGTGGGCTCAAGCAACTCCCAAAACAGTGTCAAAAAAAGTGGCAGGTTCTTCAATCTGTATCACCACTGGACCACCTTGTCCAGTGATTCACAGGAACTGGTTCTCTTCATAAATCTTGAGTATTCTGTGTCTATCTCTCACTGTGTTTTACACATCTTTGCACCTTCGTCTATAACACAATGCTTGGTCCACGATATATACTCAACAACTATGTGATAAATTTCAAACACTAACTGGATTCCATGACTGGAATGATCATGTGACTACAGCCAAGCATGTGACTACTGCCACAGCTGCCCAAACTACACTGCCCATGTTGAGAACCACTGAGAAGCGTGGCTTTGCCTCTCCAGGGGAGGACATGGCCAGGGACATTATATACTTTCTGCACAAGCTCACATGAGAGGGCACACTTTCTGTCTCCATGACATGTCTTAGACAAACCTGGAAGGATCTGGGGTCCCAGTGAAGTAGTGGATGCATGGTGAGCTTCTATTCTGAGGCAGAACCGACACTATACTGGCTGTGGTAAGGAAAGCCTCTGAGTCTATGCAGACCCCACTGGCTTTGTCTCGTAAGATATTAATCATTGTCTGCACAGTGATGCTTTCTGAAAAAGAAAGAGAGAAAAAGAGAGAGAATAAATATAACTGTGGAAGGTTACTAACCAAAGCCCATCCATTCTTTTCTCTTTTTATTAATGAACCTCCTTAAATTATAGCTGGGAGGATAACTTCTCAACTATTGAATAAAATTCCTAGTCTGTTTAGAGACTGGGTTGGCTGTGTGATATATTCTGGCCAATGAGAGATGAGCAGAAGCGGTGTATGCAACTTTCTGATCACATTCTTGTCCCCCGGTTTTCCTTTCTCCCTTCCTGCCAGCTGGGAGAGGTCAACAAATAGAAGCCCAAATGTTGAAGCAGAGAATTCCCAGCCCTGGATTGTTCATAGGCATAGACTCTAACGAGGGAAAGAAATAGCTTCTATTTTCTCTAAGTCACACTAATTTTCGCCTGTCATAGCACTTGACTCTGTCTCAACTAGTGCAATAACTGAATAGAATTTTGCATCTTCACCTAATGTTCGAATTTCCTGACTCATAAGTTACCGTGTGTGTTGGTTTTAGTCAGTCTCTTAAGAGGTTGATCTTATCTCTTAAGTCTTCTCTCTCTGCCTTGTATTCTCTCTTTGCATCTCCCCTGCCACATTTCCTAGAGTTTCCAAGTCTGGACTTCTGAGTTCCCTGGAGCTATTTAATACGCTCCTCCACCTCTGCTTCCTGTAAATTAGTAGCTACAGCTGGAGGTTCCGATTTAGGGTTGATGTTTCAGCAAGGCTTTCAACACTAGTTGTTACTTAAAACTTTTTCTTATAAGTTCCCATTTAAAAGTGAATTATTTCCATGCCTCCTACTCAGGTTATGTATAATTTAAGTTCTACAGCAAACATCCCAAAGTGTTATTCCAGATTAAGGGTCAGAAAACCTTTACTTAAAGAACCAGATATAAAATATATTAGGCCTGTGGGCCATATGAGCTCCATACTCGGTCTCCACTATGACTGCTCAGCTCTGCCACTGTAGCATGAGGTGACCATAAGTACATGAAAAGATGGGTGTCTGCTGTACTTTTGATCTTGAATGTCCTCCAAAGGCCATATGTTCAAAGTTTGGTCCCCAGACTGTGACACTATTGTAGAGTGGAGGGGCCTAATATAAAGAAGTTGGGTCATTGTAGGTGTGGTCTTAAGGAGATACTGGAGCTCTGCCCCTTTCTCTCACTGCCTACACATCCTTATAAATGGTTTCCTCAACATGCTTCAGGCGTGGGGCCTATTTCCACCCCAGAACAAAAAGCAGCAAAGCAACTAATTATGGACCAAAATCTCTGAATCTACAAAACAAAGTAGACCTTTCCTCCTGAAAAGTTTTGTGTCTCATGTATTTTGTTATAGTAACAGAAAACTGACTATCATAATATGAATGCATTCTAATAAAATTTTATCTACAAAACAGGCAGCTGGTGCTAGACATACTTTGAAGATAGCAGTTCTAAATATCAAAAATTGATTGACGATATTCATGAAGAACTAGTGACTATAAAATGTGACCATTACAGGACTTGAAGGAGAGTTTTCACTCATGAATTAAAAATAATGAGCTATGTGTTAAACACATTTATATAGTTATGGGTTCTTAATATCAATTCAGTAACTGTTTGGCACAAAAGGGTTATAAAGAGAAAATTCTGTGTAACATTTCAATGCAAAAGATCATGGCCAAGATCTCAGCAGACCACCAGAGAGTGCCTGTTCCAGCCGCCCTCTGGCATAGGGGCTGAGAACTCAGGGGACCGCCTGAGAGCTCCTGGATCCTGCCTCTACATGATGATAGAGTTATGCGATTTGGGCGTCTTTTAGATAGACCCACTGAAGGAGTACCCCAGTTGCCCCACCCTGCATCCCTGTTCAGCACGTAAGAAGCCAGAGCGGTCTGCATCTTGATTCCCTATAGGCAATTTGGGTAACCCCTTCAGAGGATGGCATGATAAGAATAGAAGGTAGGAATTGGCTAGGCAGTTAGGGTAAAAAGACCCCCAAAGAAAAGTAGCCAGTTTCATGGCTAAAAGTCAAAATGTCCTTGGACCTCTTAGCAACATACTCTGTTCCAAAGGCCAAAAAGTCAAAAATATTTGGGAGCATTTATCTAATCCCTAAAAGATTTTATGGTTACCTCTTCAGAGGGGGGGCATGTTAGAGTAGTAAAAAGTCCAGGAAGGAAGGAAGGAAGGAAGGAAGGAAGGAAGGAAGGAAGGAAGGAAGGCTATGA